GTAGCAAATTAAGAAACGAAAGAAAGAGAACTCTGAAGTCCGTCATAAGGGAGAGTGATATTCCAGTAAGCCTTGTCACTTCTAACTTCCAATAAGTCTACCACCTTAGCCTGGCGAAGGCTAACCTTATCAAATAGGAGGGAATATACATACTTTAAAGATTCATTACCCAGCTATTTATTATGATAAAAGAAAATTGTTGATCCCGAACCAGGCAACCATCGGACAATCCGATCTAAAATTTGTTTGAGGGCATAGATATCTGTCCAAAGAGGGGAAGTGCTCTCCCTTCCCTCTTCTCTTTTAACCACATCCCAAATCCATCCTCACCGTATTTTGATAGCAGTATTTTATACCAAAGCTATTCTTTGCAAGTGAGACTCTCACCACCACTTACATAGCAGTGCAGCGTTCATAAGTGGCAATCTTCTCACTCCTAGGCCTCCCTCTCTCTTCGGTGTGCAAACCTTATCCCACCGAATAAGGTGGTATTTTCTTTCCTCTCCAAATGAACCCCATAGAAAGTTGCGCATCATACATTCAATACACATAGTTACTGCCCTTGGTATTCGCATAAGGGACATTTGGTAAATAGGGAGATCTGCTAAGCACGAATTTAACAAGGTGACTCTGCCCCCCAAATATAAGTACTTAGGCTTCCAAAGGTCTAGCTTAACTTGCACCCTTTGTATGACATTGTCCCACACAGCAATGGGTAGGCACCCATTGGAGATTGGCATGCCCAAATATTTGAAAGGGAATTTGTCCACTCAACAATCAAATCTCAATGTTAGATCTAACTAGCTCCTCATCACAATTCACCCCAGTCATTACCGTTTTTCCAAAATTAACTTTCAACCCCATTAACACCTCATAACAAATCAAGAATCTTTCAATCTTATCAATTTGCTCCCTATCAGCATCACAAAAGAGGAGTGTATCGTCAGCATATTGTTGGTGAGTAACTGGAAGGCCATTCTACCTTAAACCCAGAAAAATACCCACGAGACACAATATTGAGAATCATTTTAGTAAAGCACTCCGCATACAATGTAAAGAGAAAAGGTGATAGTGGGTTACCATGTCTCAGGCCCCTAGAGGCCCTAAAAAAACCTTTCAGGATACCATTAATGAGAATAGAAAAATGAGCAGTTGACAGGCATCCAAAAATCCATTTTCTCCACCTATGACCAAAACTCATTTGTTTCATCACCTCTAACAGTATGCACCATTCCACCATATCATAAGTCTCCAAATCCAATTTAATCACAACACCCCGTTCTCTGCTTAACAATCTTGAGTGAATACATTATTGAGCAATTAGTACACTATCTGAAATCAACCTATTTTGAATAAAAGCCAACTGTGTATCCGCAATAAGCATAGATATAATATAGCATGGGAGAACATTATTGTGTGTCATTTTCATAAGGCCTTTTCTACTGAAATCTCGTTCAAGCCTAAATTGATTGGGATGGCTTTCTTGACAATTCCCCCCTCAGTAGCAGACACTCTAGAAATAGGGGTTTCAATGGAAGAATTAAAGCGGGAGGACTCCCATGAGATAAGACCCCGGGTCGAGATGGTTTCCCCTTAGCCTTCTTCTAGCGGTTCTGGCCATTATTCAAACTAGAGTTGTTGGAGATGGTTAAGGATTTCATGGAGACGGGAGAATTTTTTAAATATGTTAATGTTACTTTTATAGCATTAATTCCTAAGAGGTCGGTGATTTCTTCTCTCTCTGATATCAGGCTGATCAGTCTCCTTACCAGCCTATATAAAATTGTCGCTAAAATCATTGCTAAAAGATTGAAAATGATCTTTTCTCTCCTTCTTTCTCTCTCAAATCTCTCTCTCGCATGTAAAACCCCTCTCTCTCCCAAGTCTCATCTCTATCTCCTCTCCCTCATTGGTTGATAAGGAAGCCATACAGTGCCTAATTATGGTAGAAAGAATGTCGTAAAGAAAATGTTATCTATTACAGTACTTAAAGTATCGTAATACTACTTCAAGTTATTACGGTATTTTAATTACTGTAAAACTTAATATGAATTATGGTAAAACGACTATTGTGAGGGTCATTTTCGTCCCAAAAAAAATCCAAAAATGAAGAAAAATGGTGTAGACGAGGTTTTGAAAGTTGGTTTTTTTTTTTTCCATTTAAACTAAAATATAGGTGTATTTGTTATAATTACTCTTTATTTAATGAAAACTTAAATAAAAATTGGTCAAGTAGGACCCTAAATGCTACCAATTGATTGTTTAAATCTATTTTTCAATAATTTTATATCCTCGTGATAAAATCATGAAAATTGTACATTTATTTAAATATATATCCAATACTCTCACTCTATTTTTGAGTCAAAGCCAAAATATTCAAAGTTATAAATTTGTGACATTTTATATTTTTGGCCAACTTTTTGCCTCCGATGAACTAGAACATACTTAATACCAATTTTTAAGTTTTCTAATATAATGTTATTTCTTGGGAAAAGTAACAAGGAGACCATCTACCTTAGGTACAAGGTGGTCAAAACTAATCATGACCATTGGATGTGAAATTAGATAGATGCATTTATTTCATTGCCCAAGCTCAAACTTCAAAATAAATTTTTTCAAACTTTGTGACATACCCAAGCTATGACATACCCAAGCTATTAAATGATTGTAAGCAATTGTGACTTTATTGTACCAAAGGCAAATGATCTCATTATATATAACTCCTATTGCGATTTTTAGGGTACATTGGATTTCGGGAGGAAGCCATGTCTTCACGAATTACCCAAAAAAAGAGAAAAAATGTATCTTCACATAGTTCGGAAGTGGCAGCTTCCATGCACATAAGCCACCACTTATAATTTTTCACATTAATTTGGAAGCTGCCACAAGTGGAGACTTTTAAAATATTGTATTTCCAAAAACCAAACATACGAAGTGCAACAGCTTCGTGAACCATCGCTTCTCAAAATTGTAAGTGTAGGGTTGCCAAGGCATAGGTATAGGCTGGGTTAGCCCTACCCCATGCCTGGCCCAGGTCCCTATAGGGGTGGGTGAGCTGGGCTTTGCCCGGACCGGGCTGAAGGGGCCCTAGCCTCATTCTCCCCGACCAGGCTTAACTGCCCTTGTTATAATCCTGGGCCCAAGAGCACCTGGCCTCATTCGTCCAGACCAGGCCTAATTGCCCATGTCACTAGTCCAACCCAGACCTAGTCTAGCCTGCCTCGGGCCATGTTAGCTTGGGTTCCTCAGGCCAAATTCTAGAGACAAATCCTGGTTTTCATGGCCGGGTTGCCCGGCTCATTTGTCACCGTACAAAACGGCCTAAGCGTCATTGAATGAATCCAACACTCGTTCAAGGGGTTATCGTGTCCAATCTAATACTATCCCTAATAACGCGTGCAGATCTTAATGTTTTGGTGGTCGTGACCACCACTGGTATTATACATGAGTGCACTTTGCCAAAAGATATTCCACTTCCATAAGAGTAGATTGTCCATTTACTCCCTCATGTAAAACTTCACCTAGAATTAATCTCAAGAGAAAAAATTTCGAGGATATAAGCACTCCAAACCATAGATTAATATCAATAAAAAAATTTCCTAAATATTTCCTTCTTGCACTTGAAAGAAATAATGACTCAAGGTTGAATGGAGACCACCCTATTTTGAGATGGTGAGATCGGAGTATTAGAAAAATTTTATTTTTTGTTTTTTTTTTTGGGTGAGGTTTGCATGAGGTTGCCTCCCCATAGAGTAGAGGTACGGCACGCTTCTAAATTGTCTGGAGATGTAGTTTAAGCATCAGAACCTGGCTTGAAAATTTGTAAACAACTCTAGTTATAAAATTGAAATTTTCAAAAATAATACAAATCGAACAAATCTATAAACACTTGAAAAGTTTGAAAATAAGCGGTCCAGATAACTTGCTACGATGTACTATTTTTTTGGCCTCAAAATTCTTTATTATCATGTTTTTTTTCATATCCATAAAAAATCCATAAAAAAAATTTTATATCCATAAAAAATCCATAATTCATAATATCCATAAAAATTTTGGCCTCAAAATTTTTTACATCCATAAAAAATCCAAAAGAAAATAGTGTTCCCAATTTTGATGGTTTCCAACATTGGAAACACTCTTTTCTATTGGATTTTTTAAACACACCTTACTTTTACAGTATAAAATTGCAACCTTATATACACTTTTTCCCTTTTTTTATTTAAACTAATTATCTAGTAATTCATAAAAAAGTAATGATCCTATGAGACTCTCCCACACCCATATATATGACCCCAAATAATCACCATTAAATTTAACACAGATCTCTAAAAAAATCAAATCCCACACCCATGTGATAACTTTTTTAAAGACGTGTCAAATTTAATAGTGATCATTTGAGATCCTACACACATGTGTGGAAAGGTCTCATTGAATCATTGCTCATTCATAAATGGTTCGCAAAATTTCATATTGAAAAAATCATCCCAACTAAGTCATCTAGCTAAGGAAGTAGATGGAAACCACGCTCCCAAGGGAGCATAGTATATGTGCCTACTCATGTAACATGCTTTTCCAAACACAAGCATCCATCAACGAAACAGTCCAGCTACTAGATATAATCCCGTCTCCCATTTATCTTTCACAATTATTCCATGTCAAATGGGATGGTTTGGGGTATGTCAAAAAGTTTTTAGATTTTTTTTTTTTTCAAATTTTAAGTATACTCATAACCATCCCATTTGAAATGTGAAGGACAAGAATGATTGTGACCTTACGCTAAAAGTGATCAAAATTTTCCATTTCTAAAAATGAATATCATCGAGGGCATGTTGCAATGTTATGTTGGTTTGCCTTAGGAATTGCCCCTACGACCGCACCCCAATCATACGCCAATGTCCCCTCCTTTCCAAACACAAAAACTACATCACTCAACTTGAGAAATCGGCCAAGACATCAATCCCTTGCAAATCCTTTAACCAATTATACTCGAATATACATGTACTCATCAAAGAAAATTTCTTATGCTCAACTAACCAATCCAAACATTCACACAAAATCCAATTAAACAAAACATCAAATTCACAAACAAAAGATCCATGAATTAAAACAAAGATTAAAACAAGAAACAGTGTCCCACCATAAAAAAATTACACTTGATAAGTGCCCAAACTCAATCTATAGCTTAAGAGAATCGGATTTCAGAACACCAGTCATTGCAGGCAAAAAAGCAGAGCCCACTCTCGATGTTTCTGAAACCCTTAGAAAACTCAATGCAAAGTCTTGGCCAAACCCATAACAGGTATAGAAGTTTGGGGGGTATCGTTAAAAACCCGAGAGACAGAGCTTGCACACTTTGGGCCGGTACTACTCTTTGTCGTCTGTTCAAGGAGAGGGGCTAGAGAGAGAAATATATCCATCCTTGTGATATCCCTGTTTGCCTGAATGAGCCAATAACTTTCTGTAAGACCTTCCACAAAGGAAAAGAATCAAACTCCAAGTATTTGGGAAATTAAGGAAAACATCCAGTGGAAGAGCACAAAAATTAGAAAATAACCTTAGGTTTGAGAAAGAAACTTATTAGGATTTTTAATCAGGACATGAACCCATACTTTGGGAGGGAAATCACTGAACTTATCATAGGAGGTTTTAACAAGAATAAAACCCAAAAATTTGAGAGAAACCACTGAACTTATTTAAGGACAGGATATATAGAAACTATAGGTCCTTTGTATTTGTCGGAAAATTAATAGGAAATAAGTTGTCTAATTTAGTTATAGGAACTTTTATCAGGCAAAACCCCCAAAAAGTACAGGGAAATCTGAACTAATTTTAGGACCTTTTATTAGGGGAAAGACCAAAAGTTTGGTAAAAAGATGGCTCCATTTCCACTTAGAAAAATGTTGGCTTTGGTGATTGTTGCTGACATGCTGTTACCTCTACCGCAAAACGTGCCCAGATCTTATTGTTACAAGCTTCCATCACTCCCTTTACTATGGTAAGTCCCAACCCTCGGATTATGTCTGCAATTTCAAGGAAGAAACCTCTTTCATCGCAGAGCATCTGCTACAAAACCATTATGGTAAAATGGTGATTAGGTTGTGGATAACTCTTCTATAAAAGTCACTGGCGAGAAAAACAGGGTTCTATTCTTTCGCTTGGCAATCAAGAAGACAAAAGGAAACCAGCTCAGATTGAGAATGAGATTACCTCCACAAGCATGTGACGAGGAGCATTCAGATTCTCAACAATGATAGGGCAGATCATTGGTTGGGAGCCAACATCAAATGCCCATGTTGCGCCACCTTCATAGTTATCTTTTAAGATCAAACCACCCTCCTTGCTAATCATCTGTTCACAGAAGATATTAGTCAAAGAACATGTATTCTTTCTTTCACACACACACACGGGGGAGAGAGAGAGAGAGAGAGAGAGATTTTCATGGAATAAAAATTATAGATCTGGACTACCTTTGGCTCCCCAGTGTGTTTTAATTTGTCCACATGCTTCGTTACACTTTGCAGGAAAAGCATGTGGTTGATAGTTTTTTCTAACAAAGCATCAATGCTACACTGCACAGGAAATGAAGCAAAAAAGTAAACAATGGACATATATCAGGAGGAAGCAGAAATGGGTTGGCAGAGTCCCAGGCGATATACAAACTCCAAATAAAAGAAAAAAAAATGAACTGGTAACTACTCCAAGAAATCTAATGAAAATAAAACTGGATGCATAATTCTCAATTCATAATTCCAAAGTGACGAGTTTATCAGTCTCGTTTGCTTTAGATTTATCTGCCCCACTTTGTTGAAGTGATGAGCTTTTCATATACTCTTTCACGATGGGAGCTATTCCAAATACATGCAAATTTACCATATTTAAAGAAAAAATTATAACATGGCATACATTTACCCAGCCAGGCTATCCACCATCTGTTCTAAATGATGGATGGCGGAGATCAACATATTTACCAATGACATTCACCTGAGTATGGTTAATCTCTAGCCTCTACCATAGAGAACAGACCTGGATTCCCTGGCTGTATAGAATAGGTACACAGTCCATGCATGGTCTACCTACCCTCATATCAGTTACCAAAATGAAAGGAAAAACAAATGAGTGAATGCAAGTCAAGCTAAAAAGAACTCACCTTTGCCCCGTTGGGCACAATCTCTCGTAACTCTTTAACACGGTCCTGGATCATCTGGCGATCTTTAGGCCTAGGTCTGGTACTTTCTCCAGGTCTTGCCCTTTTCCTGTTCACTTTCAAAGGCTCTTCAAGCTTCTTGGCATGGGAAATTGAGGTTTCCTCACACTTGATGCTCTGACCATTCTCAACACAAATGTTACTGAGTGGAGATCTCGAGACCGTATCAGTCTGAGAGTCAGTAAGTTTATCCACACTAAATTTAGGGTTAAATATAGCACTCGATCTCTTTGAGTCCCCATCTAATGGAGCTTGAGAGAGATCGACTAATCTAACTTGCTTCTGTTCTGATATAGATGAAAAAGAGCTGCCTAGTTTTGTTAGTGCAGTCTTACAAGATAAGTTCTCATCAGATTCCTCATTAGTGACTGAATGAATGTCAGCAATCATGGCATCAAGAAGATTATCTGACTTAGTATTGGAAAAAAATGCGTCTCCAATTCTCCCCTTGTTGAACGCATCAAGAGCAGGATCAGAGATGGTGGAAATGCCAGTGCTTGAATTGCAGTGTTTGGAATCCTCCCCTTGCTCAAACGTATTCTCCCAATTGAATTGAAACTCATTTAATCCCAAGTCAAAACCCAAACTATCAAATAACTCGTCCACAGAACAATGTCTCAGTGGTGCATCAGTTACCTTAACATCCCCATTATTTACAAATTCCAAGCAATTATTAGCTGAGATATTGGCACTGTTTTCATCATATGACAAGTGTGATGATTCTGGACTTCTTTTCCCGGAATTTGACTTACCCACAAGGCCTTTTTGAACAGAATGAGAAATCTCAGTCAAGGGCATATCCCCATAGCAAGAAACAGGATTATTTCCACCTGACCCAGCCAATGATAACCAAGGGGATTGAAATAAACGATTCTCTTCTTGACTTGACAATCCAGTCATTGTTTGCATTTGAGTAATATCTGTCCCATTTATATTGCCAAACTTAGGTGAACCTGGACCATGTACACTTCCCAGTTGTCTGTTTCTTTCAAAAGACAAATCAAAAATAGAATCCATACCATTTCTAGTGCTACTTGAAGCAGTCGTCCTATTTTCAAGCCCTTGATTTTGTACCCCAGTTAAAAGCTCTTGCTCCATGAAAGATGAAGTGCTACAAACAGCGCCTGAACCCATAACCAAAGACCGATCACCACTTATTGAACTTATATCATACAGTGGAAACTTATTATTGGATGGAAAAATAGGGCCAGAGCCACCAGACATAATCACTTGGGCATCTCCGGTGGCAACCATGCCATTTTGGACAGTGACAGAATTGGATGGATTCACTGAAACAAATGCCTTTTGTAAGGAGTTATTGTAGTACTGGGTTGGGGATAAACCAGTAGAGTTGCTGGTTAGTGGACTTGCAGAAGCACAGGCCGGAATGCTATCACAAGACAGGGCATTGAAAGAAGGTTGAGATTGATAATTTGATTCGGAAGCTATAGTTTTGAGCATTGGTTTGTTCCATATGTCAGCAATCAAGGGTGGAAAGACCCCCTTAGCATTGAAGTTCCTGTCAAAATCTGAAGGAGTGGTTTCCCCAAGAGAGCTGTGCAACTCAAGCTTCTGGCTCCATGGTTTTTGCATATAAGGGAGAGCACCTGGGACCCTACCTAATCGTATAAACACACTCCTCACATGACTCACAAGCTCCAAATTCTCCGCAATCTGCAGAAAGAAAAATGGCCAATCGTAAATCTGAAGGGCATAAACTCATGGGACAGATGGACTATGCAAAAACAGTCCATACAGGTCATCTCTGTCCAATCAAATGGAGCATCATGGAGAGTGTGATCCATCAGAACTGGAGAAAACCCCAATGGTGAGTCCCACTCTCTCTCAACCATGGTCTATCATTTCTTTCAACAGATGACGGTTTGTCATATTTCATTTGTAGAAGTATATTTTCCCCATGCCCATTCAGAAGACAGATTTTCTTTGCATTCAGTTCTACATATAGAACCTCTATCCAAAGAAAACAATACACAAGTATGAAGCTATAATGTTAAAGACTTTCAAACTCAATTTCAAGGGAATATGATTATGGCAAGAAGGTGCCATATTAGTTCTTATCAATGTTGGAAAATTCACTTGGCAGCACCTAGGAGATGGGGGGATCTAGGCCACCTAGGCGCCTAGATACATGAGAACCAACTTGTCGATTTTTTTCTTTTTAGGGTTTGGTTAAATACCAAACTCCCCTGCCAAACAGTAAACGCATACATTCACAAATCATAAATTGTATCAAATAGCTAAACACCATAGAAAATCATATATTGAAATCGCCACAACTCATAAAATGATGAAAAACATTAAATTTTCAACTTATTGCACAAAAAGCATCCAATGTTTCAAACAAGAATGATGAACTCATAGTATCATATAGTTAAAAACTATAAAAAAATTTATATCGAAAATCCCCACAACTCATAAAATGATGAAAACATTAAATTTTCAACTCTTTGCACAAAACAATGTTTCAAACAAAAATGATGAACTCATAAAGGAAACAGAAATTCATAAATCATCACTGCTAGCTATAATTATAAAATTCCGGATTTTCATTCAATCCTGGATTACTCGCAAGAACTCTGGATTTGAGTGTGTTTTTGGCTTGAAATTGGTTCTACAAGGGGTTGGGGGCTTAAAATGAACCCCCATGGTTTTAATACAAAGAATTGGGGGGCAAAAGACTGGAAATGCCCCTAACTGAGGGAAATATTTGCCATCTCTGTAATTTTTTGCGGACCGCCTAGGCGCCCACATTTATGCATGCTTCCACTCCCGCCTGCCGAGGCCTGGGCAATGCACCCAAAGCCTCTGGCCGCATAGGCGGTTGGCAGGCATATTTTGCAACATTGGTTCTTATAATCCATCATCATAATATTTGATATATAAAATCCTAAACAAACATTCCCCATGGCCTTTAAATATCTCCCTAAATCCAGAAACAGATACGCAGACAATTCAAAGTTCTTCTCTAACAGAAATATAGTACCGAGCCTCAGCTTGCACTAAGACCAACAAATAAAAGTAAAATAGAATTAAATAGGCTACAATTCTCTCCCTATAAGGAACAGAAGCACTTTACCATTTGAGTGGATCCAAGTTGAACAACACCATGGGGTGAAACAGAAATGACTGCAATTGTCTGCAAAACAAAAAGCACACTGGTTTCCGTTAAAATATCCAGTGAACCTAAAACATAATAAATTTGAACTAAGAAATAGGTGCCAAAAGCTAACCAAAATATAATAGCAAACAAAAGTTATTTTACCTGTATCCCAACCAAAAATTGCTCTTTCCATCCAGAAGCAACCTGGGGAAAAGAGATTAAAGATTATCAACAACATTCATCAAGCATAAAAAGCTGTTCTGATACAACTTAGCTCCACATTATAAAACAAATGAGTATAAACAAGTAAATAAGAAGGCTAGCAACTCAGACCCATGTATTCAAAGGAAATAAGACTAAGATTCGTCATGATACTATAGAACAAAATTCAACTAAAAAAAACAGAAGGCAAATTATTGAACAGGAACCAATCCAAGAGGACAAAAAAAGGATTATGGATCAGTTATAGTTTTATGAACTTAACTCCTAGTTAAGCACGAAGTACTGATATAAATGAGAAGTTCATCTGAACCAAAAATAAATGTTTTATTGATAAATGGAACATCTGTACACTTGCATGTACATAGAAATTTGTTGGCACAATTGTCTGGAAAAAGAGAGACAGGGTGCAGGAATCATGTTGATCTTAGCGTATAAGAATGGGACTACAATGAAGGAAGGTGATCGAGCTATTAACCAAATTTTTTTTAGGATTTGACAGATTATTAACTACAGCTGATTAGTCAAAGCAACAATCACAAAAGAATACATATTAAGTCCTGGGTTATACCTCTGACACAGATTTAAAATCTGCAGGCCCCATTGAATTTCCTCCAGTACGAAAAATCCACTGATGTTTCCCCGCTAAAGCAACATGGCCAACAAATCTGAAACAAAACTGTACATTATTATTATAAATGGAAACACAACAATTAAGACATTTCATTTTTCCACTTACATGATGTAGTTAGCAACACTAAACACCAACAGCATAAATTTAAAGGTATAATGTTACAGTTATGAGCATTATAGACACTGAGGCAATTTCTCTGAGTAACCTGAAAGCAGGCAATGAGTAGCCTTAAAATGAGAAAACTTCAACCAGCTAGGGTTTTTCCTATTCTTGTTTCTCACTCTTGAATATTTGAGTATCTCAAGAAGATAGTTAAAAGGAAAACAAAAAAGAATTAAATAAAATTTTAAAAACTTTATAAAAATATGCATGCATGTATTTATGTACAAATGTATAAGGAAAGGAACTTCCACCCATTTTTATGGACAAATTGCTATAACAGATGTCTGCAAATCATATTCAGCACCAAGAAAATGTACCCTTCTCCTATAACATGGATCTGATCAACCATCTTGCCAACAACCGCGCGCAGTTGGTCCTCTCCTTGCTGTTTAACAAGACTAGAGTGGAGTTCTAGTGGATTCAAAAAGGATTCCCATTCTTGTAGAAGCATATCTGGATCTGCATTGGTAGCACACTCAGAGACCGCTGGATGGTTTCCAAACTCATAATATCCTTCTCCCAACATCAATATCCTAGACAGAGAACCCATCAGCTTCAATGTGAATAAACAACAGCAACACCAATAAAAAGAAAAAAGGTTATAATACGCAACCATAAATTGACGACTAGCAAGCCAGTAAATTTGGGTTAATTATTAAGAAGTAATGAGTCACATAATTAAAAACCATGCCTTATTAAGGATCGAATTGACAATTATGAATCTGCATGTTATTACTTCTGCAAGATATTCAACATGGACATTTTAATAACAAGGGCTTTCACTCTAGAGTCATATAGGTAACAAAAGAAAACATCACACACCAAAAAGTGTAGAGTAAAAATCAAAGCCATGTAAACAGAGCTCTCACATACACCCAATGGTCACGGGAAAACCTTGAGCAGCAGTCCCTTTCTAAAAGGTCGTCTCCCACCATAGATGAGACAAAATTTGCAGGAGAACTACCATCAAGTTCCAATTTACAAAACCAAACATTCAGTTGCAACATTGCATCTGACCATCCTCTTATCTTGTATCATAACTCTAGATTTCTATCCCGAAACTTGCTCCAAATGAGTGCATGAAATAATTGAGTCGCTAGTCCTTTCTGTGAATTTTAGACCGTTCTCACCAATGTCTTTGAAACCCTTATAATTCTACTCCCTATAAATGAGCTAAAGATCCAAGCAACCCAAAGTTCAACCTTCTAGGAGAAGGAAATTGCCTCAGACATTATTCCTAGAACACCAAAAAGGTTAATGGAGAAACTCCACACTCAAGCAGGACTTATAGTGGACAATTGCACTCAAACAAATATACAGACACAAATGAATTAATGCAATTCATAAATCTTTGCATGCTAACCCTTGATATAGACCTATTGTCACTGAAAACTCACTCGTCTCTCCACTAGTTGTTCGTACAGTAGTTAGCGCTCCATCATCACCAAATCGATGTAGTGTTTAAAGACACCTTTATTTTCCAACACCTGCCAAATCAAATCTCGAGGTACTCTACCATAAGCTTTCTCTAGATCAATAAAGACCATATGAAGGTCTTTTCCCTTCGCCCTAAGCTTCTTGATCAGTTACCGAAGTAGGAAAATAGCTTCAGTTGTTGACCTTCCTGGCATAAAACCAAATTGGTTTTCAGATACACTCGTTTCATGCCTTAGTCATTGTTCAATGACTCTCTCCCAGAGCTTCATAGTATGGCTCATAAGCTTGATCCCTCAATAGTTTGTACAATTCTGCATGTTTCTTTTATTCTTGTAAATATCACAATATTTTTCCTCCATTCGTCTAGCATTTTCTTTATTCTCAACACCTTGTTGAACAGCTTCATCAGTCAGTCAATGCCAATTGCTCCCATGCACTTCCAAACCTCTATTGGGATACCATCTGGTCCTAAAGCCTTTCCTATCTTCATCCTTTTCAAAGCTTGACATCATAATCCTATGAATGTCTCTATGACCTCCGTCGTCACTTAATTATGGGTGACTAAGTAGGCACCTACAAGATGTGCCTAGTTATGGACAACTTAACTAGGCACCTACAGGATGAGGTACCATGGTGTATGTTGTTCGCAAATGACAGTTTTGATTGATGAGACCCAAAATGGCATCAACACAAAGTTAGAACTTTGGGGGGTGCTCTAGAATCCAAAGGTTTTAAAACTAGTTAGACTAAGACAAAGTATATGGACTGCAAGTTTAGTACTAATAGGAGCAGAGATGAGAAAGTAGTCAAGATCGACGGCCAGGAAGTACAAAAAAGGCCACACTTTAGATATCTTGGGTCGATAATCAAGGAAACTGAAGAGATCGAGGAAGATGTTGTACACAAAATTAGAGCTGGGTGGGCAAAGTGGAGATGTGCAACTAGAATTTTATGTGATCACCGCATACCAATGAGGCTAAAAGGCAAGTTCTATAGGACAGCGGTGAGACTAGCTTTGCACTATGGGGCAGAATGTTAAGCGGACAAAAAACAACACACTCATAAAATGAGTGCAACGAAGATGAGGATGTTGAGATGAATGAGTGGCAAGACAAGAAGGGATAGAATTCGAAATGAATCTATTCAAGAGAATTTAGGTGTGGCACCAATAGGCGATAAAATGAGAGAGAATAAACTTAGGTGAGCTGGTCATGTGTGGCGCCGACCAAGTACAACACTTATTAGGAGGTGCGAGTTAGTTCAAGTAGAATGACTGAACTGAAAAGGGTAAAGGATAGGCCCAAAAGGACGTGGTTGGAAGTAATCCAAAAAACTATGGGGACTTATGGCCTCACTGAGGATATGGCCTTTAATAGAACCAAGATCCATGTAACCAACCCCAATTAATTGAAAAAATGCTACAATGATGATGATAAATATATGCATGCATCTATCCATCTATACATAGATAGGTATGCAGATAGATAGAAAGATGGATAGAAGGACAAATAGGTAAGTAGATCAATAGATAGACAGATATAAATCGATATATATGCATGCAAGTATGCGACTATGCAATGCATGCTAAGACATGGAATTTGAGAGGGAAATGGCATCATGATAGGAAGTGGTCTTCCATATCCCAACAAAATACGCAGCCAATAAAATTGAACAATTGTTTCGATATTTATCCTTTGGTGTCAACCAAATGCAACTCTCAAGACCTTCACAATTTAATAATTTCATCTTTCATTGTGTCATAACGTAAAGTTGTTATTAATATTTCTAGATTTTCTCCAGAGTCATGTGACATCTTTAATTAGCAAGACCAAACCATCAACATTGTGCAAAACTTAGTATGAATAATGTTCTTCTTTGTAAGAGCTACGGTCTTCTCAATTATTTCTATGGACCCATTGTCGAGCACTCATCAATTATGAGATGAGAAGAAAACCCAAAAATTGAATAAAGAACAATTGATATCAAAGGGCAAATCATGGATAGATGGCAGATTTTCTTAAGAAGCATTTTCTAAATTCTGAGGCAATCGATCTCATTTTGCTCAAGAAATTGATCAACCACTAGAATCTATGCAAAGTCATTAAAATTTGTTACCCAAGAATTGCACCAGGAGATCAAGGTATAGTACCACATAGATGTAACCAAATGATCACTAATACCTCTGCATTTCTCAAATAGAGTTAACCGGCTATGTGGTTCGAAACCCTATTTTATGGTGATGAAACATTTACATATAAGCTGATCCCAATTAGTTGGGAAAAGCCCTGACAATGATGATGAAGCATTTACGTATAGAAAAACTGAGGATAATTCAATAAAACAAGATTTAATCCGCTCCTAAATATGGATAGACAACCAGCTGTACAATCCATACTGTCACCTATACTTCAGGTGTAAGAATAAAACATAGAGGGTGAATTAGTAAAATTATGAGCAGCGAAATATGCTCATAATTTTGGAGGGGTGAGGTCCTATGGTGTTTATAGTTTGCGGATGGCATAGCTTTGATTGATAAGACTAGAACGGCATCAATGCTAAGTTAGAACTTTGGAGGGATGTTGTAGAATCTAAAAGTATAAAATTAGTCGAATTAAAACATAATATATAGAAAACAAGTATTAGATAAGATTGATGGCCAAGAAGTACTTAAAAGATATTATTTTTTATATCTTGGATTAATAGTCCATGAAAAAGGAGAGATTGAGGACGATGTCGCGCAAAAAATTAGAGGTGGCTGGACGAAGTGGAGATGCACTTTGGAGTCTTATACAATTGTCACATACCATGAAACTGAAGGAGAAGTTCTACAGGACAGCTGTAAGACCATTTATGCAATGGGATTAAATGTTGGGCGGTTAAAAAACAACATATCCATAGAATAAGTGTATAGCTGAGTTGGGGGGATCCATCTATTACACCTAGGCTATAGTTTATTTATTTTTAAAATAATTTTTTTGTTTGCACTATAGTTTATTTAATTAAAACAACATAATGATGGGCATATGCACTGACCATGGAGTGGTGCAGTCCCTAGCTGACATATGAGGGTGCGCAATCAAAGATTTCCCCTCCATGTACATGGGCCTTCCTTTATGCCTAGTTTTACCTCGCCTCTCCTATTGGAGTCATATTGTCAATAATTCGACTGGAGATTTGTTGTTGGAAAGGTAAATTCCTTTCTAAGTTGGGTATGCTTACCTTGACCAAGGCCACTCTTGTCAACACCCCTGTGTTCCAGATGTCCCTTTTCCATATCCCGGCCTCGGTGGCTGCAAGGTTGGAACGAATTATGAGAGAGTTCTTCTGATCAAGAGAACATGCAAGGAAGTTTCACCTCATCTCCAAGCCCGAATTGTGCATGCCCAAAGAGAAAGGGGGTGTTGGGCATCCGTAATCTTAGAGCCCACAATGCAGTCCTCTTAGGCAAGTGGTGGTGGAGGTACGCCACTCAACCCCAACACCTCTGGAGGGAAGTTATCCGCCACAAATATTGTCGTGGAAATGATGGTTTCCAAATTGCTAATCCATAGGTAACATCGCGGGATTTTGGAGGTCAGTCCTTCACTACAAGAACCAATTTCTCCAACATATTCACTTCCTCTTGAGGGAGGGGAAGAGGGTTAAAGGTTGGACGGACACTTGAATTGGCCACACTCCCCTCAAGGATCAGATCCCTAATCTTTTCCTACTAGCTCGTGATTGCCAGTCCTCAGTGGCTTAGGGGCGTCTAGAGGTCGCCAAACTTCAGGAGGCGCATTGTTGATCATGAGTAAAAAGAATTTGCAGCCTTGTCGAAATTGATGCACTCTGCTTTCCTTTCTCCTAACGGGGAAGACAAAGTCATTTGGGCACCAACAACCTCTGGACAATTCTTGGTGTCCTCTTTCTTCGGGTCCTTACCTGCTGTCAACTCTGACCCTGCCTCCACACCCCTTACCCTTGCCTCCAAAGCTTGGTTCTCTCTCATTCCCCTGAGGATTCAGGTGTTTTGCTGAATTGCACTCCACTAAAGAGTATTGACTATAGACCATATCCAAAGGAGGGGTTTGTCTTGCCCCAACAAATGCGTCTTGTGCTTGGAGGCCAAAGAGTCAAACACGCACCTTTTCCTCTACTGTAATCTAGTCAAAGCCCTTTGGACCAACCTACTTCAACTTTTTCAATGGTTGTGAGTCACCCCTAGATCAATTCCAGACCTGTTTCAAGCCTTCCTCTCCACTTCTTGATCGAAGGTGGGTAGACTTCTTTGGAATGCCTCTGTAGCTGCGACCATTTGGGTGTGTTATGGAGAGAAAGAAACACTCGAATCTTTATGGGAGAGCAATCCACAATTGCATCCTTGATTGAGAAAGTTAGGAATCTCGTCTCCTTTTGGGCTAGAAATCACAAGTTCTTTAAAGACTATGCCCATTTCGATCTCTACAGCAATTGGGAAACTACGTTGCACCTGACCCCCCATAGAATTGCTTAGGCCTCTCTTTAGAGATCGCCGGAACATGGCTGAGTTAAGTTCAATTTTGATGGTTGCTCCCTTGGAAAGCCTGAGCCCTTTGGCATAGGAGGCCTTTTTAGAACTCATGATTGCAGTGCGCTCTTGTCCTTCTCCCATCCTATTGGTCTTGCGGACTCTACTATTGCTAAGGGTCATGCCCTATTGGAGGGACTTCGCAAGTTTAACCCCTATTGGAGTCCTGAATTAATTGTGGAAGGGATTCCAAAACTCCATTGCTTGGGCTTCCAACACTACTCCTTGCATGTAGCGGCTTGATCTCATATTCGACGAGATTACCTATATTTGTAGTGGCTTGCGATTGGCATGGAATCATGTCTATAGGGAAGCCAACAGCGAGGCTGACTCTTCGGCGAAGGAGGGAGCCCAATCCAACCAAAATTGCGGGCCTTAAACCGTCATGTTTTCCCCCCCCCCTTCCTTTTTGTACCTCTAATCACACACTGTATGGCATTTTTTGTACCCTTTCAGGGTTTTGAATATGGGGTCTAAAAAGGGGTGCCTCATTTTTTAAATTTTTCTCTTTTAAGCAAGATAAGTGAACATTCTCCTAAAATACGTACACACATACATACATACATATATATACATACATATACATGTATGTATGTGTGTGTGTGTGTGTATATATATATACTTCAGCAGTAGAGAGACTTTTGAATTGCGAGGTACCATTACAAGCTCAATATATACGAAGGTCATTCCATGAAATAACTCGAATTTCAAATCATTCACTTGCTTCAACTACTAATGCTATGGTTGTGGGAGCATCAACTCCATCCCTATGGGCTTCTAAAGAGCAGGAGAGCATCAACTCCGTCCCTATGAGCTTCTAAAGAGCAAGAGAAATTGTTGGAATTCTATA